TGAGCACATTCTCCACGCCCCATCCCCCCAAAACCGGCCCACGCGCCCAGCCGCCACGCGGGCCACGCCCACTCCACGCCGCGTCTTGTGCCGCTCAAGGTACTACGTCGGCTCCGAGGCGGGCATCTACCGCAACGCGGGCGGCTGCCGGGCGGGCAAGTGGGAGCCGATGTTCGCCCGCCGCATCGCCCGCCGGACCGGCGCCGTGCGCGACCGCGTGGCGCACGACTTTCAGGCAATCTCGGGTAATCTCGGGTGATCTCGGGTGATCTCGGGTAATCTCGGGTAATCTCGAGTAATCTCGGGTGATCTCGGGTAATCTCGGGTAACGCGGCGCACGACTGTCAGGCCATCAACATCGACTTTGGGGGCGACCCCGGCGGCGTCGCGTTCGGGTCGGACCAGGGCGTGTTCATGAAGAACGTGAGCGACGCAGACATGCGCACCAACCTGCGGCTCATCAGCGGCAACGGAGACATGAGCAACAACATCATCATGCACCCCTCCATCGCCATGGGGGAGGAGCCGCACACGCGGTACCTTGTGACGGCCCTGTGGGACTGGGGCCCGGTCGCGTCATGGGACAATGGCACCCACTGGCCGAGCTGGCAGACCCCGGACGACGGCGCGACGAGATTGCGAGAGATTGCGCGAGATTGCGTGTGAGATTGTGCGAGATTGCGCGAGACTGCGCGAGACTACGCGAGATTGCGCGAGATTGCGTGTGAGATTGTGCGAGACAGCGTGAGACTGTGCGAGACTGCGCGAGATTGCGCGAGATTGCGTGTGAGATTGTGCGAGACTGCGTGAGACAGCGCAGCGAGGGGAGGAAGATGCCAGCTCTCCCGCGCCGTAGGCTCAGCGCTCTTAATTTATTAATCCCTCATCACTAATTGATTAATCTCCCGCGCCCCGTAGGCTCTGCGCTCGGCTTCTTCGGCGAGGGCGGCGGCTGCTTCGGCGTCGGTCGGTCGGTCTACTCGCTGTGCATCCACCACCACAACGTCGCCCGCACCTCGCGCGGCGGGAAGAACTTCTCGATTAATTAATTACTCAGTACTAATTAATGAATAGGTCGCCCGCACCTCGCGCGGCGGGAAGAACTTCTCGATCAATTAATTACTCAGTACTCATGAATGAATAGGTCGCCCGCAGCTCGCGCGGCGGGAAGAACTTCTCGATCAATTAATTACTCAGTACTAAGGAATGAATAGGTCGCCCGCAGCTCGCCCGGCGGGAAGAACTTCTCGATCAATTAATTACTCAGTACTCATGAATGAATAGGTCGCCCGCAGCTCGCGCGGCGGGAAGAACTTCTCGATCGATTAATTACTCAGTACTAATGAATGAATAGGTCGCCCGCAGCTCGCGCGGCGGGAAGAACTTCTCGATCGATTAATTACTCAGTACTAATGAATGAATAGGTCGCCCGCAGCTCGCGCGGCGGGAAGAACTTCTCGATCAATTAATTACTCAGTACTAAGGAATGAATAGGTCGCCCGCAGCTCGCGCGGCGGGAAGAACTTCTCGATCAATTAATTACTCAGTACTCATGAATGAATAGGTCGCCCGCAACTCGCGCGGCGGGAAGAACTTCTCGATCAATTAATTACTCAGTACTAAGGAATGAATAGGTCGCCCGCAGCTCGCGCGGCGGGAAGAACTTCTCGATCGATTAATTACTCAGTACTAAGGAATGAATAGGTCGCCCGCAGCTCGCGCGGCGGGAAGAACTTCTCGATCGATTAATTACTCAGTACTCATGAATGAATAGGTCGCCCGCAGCTCGCGCGGCGGGAAGAACTTCTCGATCAATTAATTACTCAGTACTCATGAATGAATAGGTCGCCCGCAGCTCGCGCGGCGGGAAGAACTTCTCGATTAATTAATTACTCAGTACTCATGAATGAATAGGTCGCCCGCAGCTCGCGCGGCGGGAAGAACTTCTCGATTAATGAATCACTCAGTACCAATTAATGAATAGGTCGCCCGCAGCTCGCGCGGCGGGAAGAACTTCTCGATTAATTAATTACTCAGTACTCATGAATGAATAGGTCGCCCGCAGCTCGCGCGGCGGGAAGAACTTCTCGATTAATTAATTACTCAGTACTAATGAATGAATAGGTCGCCCGCAGCTCGCGCGGCGGGAAGAAGTTCTCGATCAATTAATTACTCAGTACTCATGAATGAATAGGTCGCCCGCAGCTCGCGCGGCGGGAAGAACTTCTCGATCAATTAATTACTCAGTACCAATTAATGAATAGGTCGCCCGCAGCTCGCGCGGCGGGAAGAACTTCTCGATTAATTAATTACTCAGTACTCATGAATGAATAGGTCGCCCGCAGCTCGCGCGGCGGGAAGAACTTCTCGATCAATTAATCACTCAGTACTAAGTAATGAATAGGTCGCCCGCAGCTCGCGCGGCGGGAAGAACTTCTCGATCAATTAATTACTCAGTACTAAGTAATGAATAGGTCGCCCGCAGCTCGCGCGGCGGGAAGAACTTCTCGATCAATTAATTACTCAGTACTAATGAATGAATAGGTCGCCCGCAGCTCGCGCGGCGGGAAGAACTTCTCGATCAATTAATTACTCAGTACTAATGAATGAATAGGTCGCCCGCAGCTCGCGCGGCGGGAAGAACTTCTCGATCGATTAATTACTCAGTACCAATTAATGAATAGGTCGCCCGCAGCTCGCGCGGCGGGAAGAACTTCTCGATTAATTAATTACTCAGTACCAATTAATGAATAGGTCGCCCGCAGCTCGCGCGGCGGGAAGAACTTCTCGATTCATTAATTACTCAGTACTAAGTAATGAATAGGTCGCCCGCAGCTCGCGCGGCGGGAAGAACTTCTCGCGCTTCGTCGTCCCAAACGGGGCCAGCGTCGGCGCGCCCGCGTTTGCGCGCAGGGCGGGCTGCACGCGGAGCCATCTGGCCTGCTCTGTTGATTAATTCGGTACTCAGTACTAATTAATTGAGTAGGCGGGCTCGCGCGCGGAGCCCTCTGGCTTGCTCTACGCGCCGATGACGATGGAGGCGCCGCCGCCCTCGCCGCCTCCGCCCCCACCACCTCCGCCCCCACCACTTCCGCCCCCACCACCTCCGCCCCCACCACCTCCGCCCCCACCACCTCCGCCCCCACCGCCTCGGCCCTCGCCACCCCCCACCCTCGCCACCCCCACGCCAGCCGCCTCCGCCCTCGCCGCCTCTCGGCCCCTCGCCGCCTCCGCCCCTCGCCGCCTCGGCCGCCCCTCGCCGCCTCCGCCCTCGCCGCCTCTCGGCCGCACCTCGGCGACCGCTCGGCGACTGCTTTCTCGGCCAGACTTTGGCGATCGCGCTGCCGCAGGCGCCGGCGTGGGAGGTTATCGTCGACACTGAGGTGGTCTGCGGTGCGGGGGAGGCGATTGAGCTCGGCGCGCACACTCGCGACGGCTGCCTCGCGCGCGT